TTTTAGCAGGTCTTCTGGGTTCATTTGTACAAGTGCCTGTTGGTCGTGGCATAATGCGGTAATGGTGCTGAGCCAGCAAGCTCCTGGCACGTTGTTCTCTCTTCTCTTACTTCTGTCTTCAAGTTCACTTTAGATGATCCTCCCAACCCCAGTTTCTCTGCGTGTTGACATCTTCATTTACAGTGATCCTCTCCTCCACATACCTCCACCATCCACAGTGATGATCGTGGCTTAGGCTTCATCATTAACAAAAATTGCTTATCTGTCATAGTGCAGTCGGCACACCAGTACCACAGCAGTAACTAGAACAGGAAATGTAGTGTCAGGTAACTAAATAGTTACCTCAGTTTACTAAGTAGTTCCTCTTTTAAGAGGAGCACAGGACCCTGGGGAGTGCAGTGGTAGCAGCTACTGGAACTTCTACACATTCCACCCTGTTCTCTCCAAGAATTACAAAAATATCAAAAAAATTTAAAGCTGGACATAATTCACAAAGCAACTGACAGAAGACTCTGAAAGGTGAGAGAAAGAAGGTAGACTGGCTGGATTCATAAGACTGAAGGAACTTCCTGCTAGGGAGCAAGTTTCCTGTTGTTTATTTTTTTCCTCATGTATCCTGACGTGAGCTCTGGAGAGACCTGACCCAGAAAGACCTATAGCTTTAGCCAAAAATAGCCCCTCAAAAAATCTGCTCTCTCTAGCCAAAGGACTGGCAGAAGGGTCGTCCAGCAGGATATAAATGTCTTGACTGGACCCGTCCTACTCAGGTGAACAGCACACAGAAACCCCGTCCCCTCTGTCCACTTGAGGTTGCAGTCCTGGAGACTGTGGGCAGGTCCCTGTTGTCTATTTCTTCCCTGTAATAAGAGGTGGTGCCCCTCTCCTTTCTCCCTCAAGTTGAGAGTGAAGGGAGATTTATTGAGAGAAGTTTTCTAGAGAAAGTGATTTTTTTTCCCTGTGGTGTAAAGTACACTTAAAATAAAATTTACCATTTTAACCATTTTTAGTGTAGTTTAATGGCATTAAATACATTCACCTTGTTTTGCTTCCATTACCACCATCCATCTCTAGAACTTTTCCATCTTCTCATAACTGAAACTCTACCTGTTAAATAGCATCCTTGATCTCCCCTCCACCCAAGCTCTGGCAGCCACCATCCTGTTTTCTCTCTCTATGAATTTGACTATTCTCGTTCTGATATAAGCAGAGTCATACAATATTTGTGTCTGGTTCTTATCACTTAGCATGTCAGTATTCCTCTATTTCGTAGCAAATCTCAGAATTTCTTTCTTTTTAAAAAAATTCTGTCAAAAATCATGTAACCAAATTTGCCATTGTAACTATCTTTAAGTGTACAGTTCAATAGTGTTAAGTATATTCACATTGTTGTGAAAAAATCTCTAGAACTTTTTCATCTTCCAAATCTGATAATTTGTAGTCATTAAGCAACGACTCCCTCTTCCTTCTCCCTCAGCTCCAGCTAACCACCATTCTGTTTCTATGACTGACTTCTTCAGATATCATATATAAGTCGAATCAGCGTATTTATCTTTTGTGACTGTCTTATTTAACTCAGCATAATGTCCTCAAAATTGATCCATGTTGTCGCATGTGACAGAATTTCCTTCCCTTTTCAGATTGAATGATATTCCATTGTATATGTATACCACATTTTGCTTATCTGTCTATCCACTGATGGACATTTGGTTTGCTTCTGTCTTTTGGCTATTTTGAATAATGCTCGTATGAATGTAAGTGTGCAGATACCCTTTCAAGAATCTGCTTTCAGTTCTTTGGGTGTATATCCAAAAGTGGAATTGCTCGATCACATGGTAAACCTATGTTTTAATTTTCTGAGGAACTGCCTTGCTGGAGAAATGGATTTTAAAAACCTGTATATAAAATCCCTGGCAGACCTTTGTATAACCTATGCATGAAACCACACAGTAACAACATAGCAGAAGATTTGATAACTGAACAATTGTTTGGAACACCATCCATGTTTTAGATTGACCTCTGGGTAACCCATAGTGTGAAGGTTGGAGAGGCGCTGCAGAGCCTTTGAAAGCTAAATTGGCATTTGTGCCACAGACTATAATTGTGAGCTAGGACATGTATTCAAAACCTAGTATGTTAACTATCTGTTTAAATAGATTTTAATAGGGAACCAAATGTCCTAAAACTCGCAATGCCCAGGATACAATCCAAAATTTTCATCAGACCAAAACCTGCAAAAATCTCAACTTAAATGAGAAAAGATAATCAGTAGATATCAACAGCAAGAGAAATGGATGTTGGAATTATTATCTAAGAATTTAAAGCAGGTATCATAAAATGTCTCTGACAAACAATTATGAACGCTTGTTAAACAAGTGAAAATGTAGAATGTCTTAGTAGAGAAACAGAAGGAATAAGGAAGAACCAAATGGAAATAAAAGTTCTTCAGACAAAAGAAAATGATTTTAAAAGTCAGCTTGTGTACATATATCAAATTATTATGTTGTACACCTAAAACTCATAAAATGTTATATGTCAATTACATCTCAGTAATACAAGGGAAAAGAAGTCAACTTGGAACATCAGGAATAAAGAAAGACCCAAGGAGAGGGTAATATATAAATAAATAAGGCAATTTTCCTCCTAGAGTTTGAAAATTATGTTT